GGATTGGGTCTTGGCTCGAGGTTCGGGTAGCCAAGTGCGCGGGGTGCTGCGAGGGCTTGGGGTCCCGGCGGGGGCAGAGCACGCGGGCTCTGCAGATCCGGGGTTCGGCTTGCGGGGTTGGGCTAAAGTTCCCCGTCACCTCGGACGGCTCAGGGGTCCCAGGGGAAACCTCTAAGACTCAAGTCTAGGCCAGTCTCCCCTGCTTGTTCCCCATCCTACCCCCCGTCTCGCTGGGCTCCTAATTGTGAAAACATTAACCCTCCAACATTCGTGGTGCCCCTTGGCGGTAGGGGCCGAGGGCTCAGCTGCCCCTCCTGACTCCCAGAGCCGCCTCCTGCCCCTCCCAACTGCCCCCTGCCCCCTCCCTCCCGCGAAGCAGTCACTAATTTCCATGACAACGGAGAGTTCTTTATGGGCGACAACCTGAAGGGGGCTGGGCGGGGCTGCTGCGGGGTGGGGGAGCAGGCTCAAGCCCCTGAGGACCAGCAGCCCCCAAGCCAAGATCCAGCTTCCGAGCCTTAACACGGGGGCCCGCCGGGTGTCCAGGGCACCCACCCAGAGCTGCGCAGTGGGGGTGGGGGGCGCACATGTTTCTGCTGGGAGGTGCGGGCTTGGTGCTCACACGTGTGCCTTCCGCATGTGTGTTGCTGTGCCAGCGGGGGCGAGTCAGCAGCACTGGGGAAGGGGGTCAGGGTGGCAGCACGATGGGGAGCAGGGCCCCTGGCTGGCTGGGTGAACAATGAGCCACTGAGTTTCTGCCTTCCCCAGCCTGTGGTGTCTGGCAGAGACCCTAGGCTCTCCCAGTCCCCCATAGCTCTACCAAACTGCTTTTGTCCGCACCCCCTAGGCAGAGCTTGCTCCACCAGGTTCCCTCGTAGGGAGCTGGGCTCTCTGTCCCTCACCAAAACCTCAGTCTGCAGCAGTCCAGCCCCTGTTCTGACCCTCCTCCAAGGCCCAGGCTTTGAGCCCCCAAAGGACCGCCTGTGGTGACCTGGTGCCCTCACCCACAACTGAGTCCTATCAGCTTTGGGCACCTGCTGGGCCCCAGTTTCCTCAAGTGGGGAATTGATGTCTCCACTCCCCTCAGTGTCAGGCTGGCCCTGGGGTGGAGTAGAGGCTCCTTTCCCTTTTACAGCATTTGGTGTGGGCCCTCAGGTGCCATAGGCTGCCTTTCCTGTATCAGCTACTGGCCCTTCTCGGCAGCCCTTGTGCTGGCCACCACTCACTAGCAGGTGGGCAGTCCTTGCCCTGGGAGAAGGCCACAGAGTCAGTGATCTCCATCCAGGGAAACTGAGGCCGAGTGGGAGGGGGAATGCTGTGTAGTTGTTATCCTATTTCTAGGTTGCTCAGGGTGCTGTTTCTGGCCCTCAGACAGAATCCATTGTCGGGGAGGGGGATGGCAGTGACAGGGAATTAGGCTGAGCTGCAAGAGAGGCCCTGGGGACC